TCAGCTGGAGCCCCTCGGCCTTGCAGGTGGCGACTCGGGCCCGGGCCTCCCGTGGGGGGGGGCGATAAATGGGTGGGCGACGAAGGGGGGAGCAGCGGGGGCTGCCGAAGAGGAGCCCCTCCCCTAAAATGGGGCCTTTTTCGGGCCCAGGAGGGAGCCTTTGCGCGCCCGAAGGGGGCGCCTTTCACCACCCCCCCCCGATGGCATCGCCCCCCCCCCCCTACTTCGCGCCCAACCGCGGTTCGACAGAGTCGCGCCGGGAGGGAGGGGGGGGGGGGGTCGCCACTCTCGGCCTCCAGGGGCCGTCGCCCGCAGCCCCGGGGCCGTAAGACCGGCCCCAGGGAGGGGGTGGAGAGGTCCGAGGGGCAGAGGCCGACGTTCAGGGGGGGTCCAGTTTATCGGGGCGCGTTCTGCGTGTGCAATTTCACCTGTGTGTGCGCGGCATGCTCGAAGCTCGTGCTCGCGAGGCCCCAGCGCACATCGAGACCTCGGAGGCCAAGGCCTCGTGGACCGAGCCTCGGCCGTGCTCTTTGCCATGCGGGTGCCGTGGAGCTCTCTCCACCCCTTCCCGGGAGCCAGATGAGCGACACAAAAATGACGGGGACGTCTGCGCCGACATTGGCGCGAAAGCTGCCCGCGTAATCTCGCGCGTAAGCGCCCTCGTCTCCAACGTGGCGTGCGGCGCTGGCGGCCCGCGTAATCCAGCGCGTAAGGTCGCTGTGCCAACTCGCGTAAGACCCGTTTTTGATCGTCGCTCAGATCGACTTAGCGGACGAAGAGCGCTGTAAAGTGAACTGCTCCGCCGTCGGGGAGGCGCGCCCCAGAGCAGCCAGAAAGTATGTGTATATATATATATATATATACCCACACGGTGGCACGCCGCCGTATACATTTTCCAGCCGCCTTGGCGCAGGCGTCCCCGACGGCGGAAGCGGTTCTCTCATGCCAGCATTCGTCCGCCGATTCAAATCCAATGTGACTTGACATGTCGCCGCGCCGTTGGTCCCGATGCCATGGTGTCGGCGTCGTCCACTTGGGCGCGTCGAGAAAAAACGGCGCGGCGACATGTAATTTGATATTTCCAGTGCCCGACAAGGCCTCCAGATATCCAGAAATGCGACATGTATCTGTATTTATGTTTGTCGGGCCGTTGGAGGTCCGGGCGTCCCACTACCAATCCCACAGGCAGGACGGGTATCCTTCCAGACCCCCACGGCTTCAATCAGCCACGCGCAGAGCGGGGTAGGGGGAGGGTGGAAGGTTTTTTTTGAAGCACCCTGCTTCTCAGGAGGCGCGGGCCTTGTTTATAGATGTAAGGGCCGGCGCCTTCTAAGAAGCAGCCTCCTAAGAAGCCTTCCCACCTCCCCCCATCCCCCCTCTGCACGCCGCCAATCCAACGCGCATTCTGCATGGTCTGGAGCGGCATATGTCCGTCTCTGACCTAGCAGCGATGGTGGAAAATCGGAGCTTTCATCCCCACGGACTCTTGCGGGCGTCGTGGAAAGACACCACGGGCGATTGTTTCGTTCTGTTGACCTCCGCTGGCCTTTTCCAAGGCCTTCACGAGACGGCCCGCGGCGAAGGAACAGTCTCAGGGATGGGGTCCAGAACTCCAAGAGGGAGGGGCGGGGCACGTTGCGAGAGAAGCATGACGTCAGAGGTCTGGAAATTTCTCCCCCCTCCTCCTGCTCCTCCTGCTCCTCCCTCCTCCTGCCCCTCACCCTTCCGCTTCCGTGAGAGGTGGGGGATCGCGCGACGTCCCCGGAGAACCAGGTCCTGCGCGGGTCGCACGTAAGCGTGCACAGCGAGGAGTCGTCGCTCACGATCAGCGAAGTTTCGAGCATTCGGAGCGGCCCTTCAGCCGCAAATACAGACCTTCACGACGCTGACGCCAGAAGGACTCGATTACAAAAAAAACTACAGGTTCGAAGGTCCGCACGGATCTCTGCGGTCGTCATTGGACCCCCTTCCCCACATCGTGTTCATGCCGTCAGTTGGCTTCCCAAGGACTATCAAATTAATCAGAGCTACTGCAACCTCCGCATCCAACAGGATTGATGAGAGGCCTCTCGCGAGGTTCGTGAAGAGCGCTCACTTCACCGTGGCGCTCGCTTCTCTGATCATCGTTAGCGCGGTGCTGATCGGCATTGAGACCCAGGTTCTTGCTGGTTTGTCCTACCAAAGGGCGGGATCAGAGCAGGTGTTAACTGTCTTGTCAATATTGAACTACATGGTCACCTTCCTGTTCACAGCGGAGATGGTGACAAGATTGTACGTCTTCAGAATCGATTTCTTTATTTACGAAAGAATGTGGAATTGCTTCGATCTTATCATCCTGTTCCTGGCACTCGTCGAGATTGCTCTGGAGATCGTGGTGCGCTCGCTTGCAGGCACGGAGAACAGCGTCTTCGATGGTGGTGGAACGGCGAAGATGATGCGCCTGATTCGCCTCACTCGACTTCTTCGCCTCGTCCGCACCTTTCGCCAGTTGAAGCCCCTACGGATGCTGGTGCGTTCTATCATGGCCGCCGGCAAGTCTGTTTTTTGGGCACTCTTGTTGCTCTTCATGATCGTTTACGTCTTTGGAGTCGTCTTGACGCAAGCTGTGACGGAGCATACTGAGGGCGGTGATCGAATCGAGGATGACAATCTAATATCGAAGACGCTTACGGCGAACCACCGCCGCCCCGTGCCTCCTGGAACCTCCTGTGTGGTGAAATGTCGAGCGAAGGTGCGGCCATGCTAGTGTCGTGTTCCCCCAGCGCTTGAGAAAACCACCGAGGAAGATTGGAGAGGTCCATCTGCGGTCGTCTTGGGGCTCTCTTTGGGTCATCTGGGACGTCTTGGGGACATCTCGGGGTGGACCGTCCTAAGTGAAGGGGCAGGCGGAAGAATGAGGAGGAGGAGGAGGAGGAGGAGGGAAGAGGAGGAGGGAAGAGGAGGAGGGAAGAGGAGGAAGGAGGAGAAGGAGGAGGAGGAGAAGGAGGAGGAGGAGAGAGAGGAGGAGGAGGAGGAGGGGGGAGGAGGGAGGAGGGAGGAGGGAGCAGGGAGGAGGGGAGGGAGGAGGAGGGAGGAGGAGGGAGGAGGAGGGAGGAGGAGGGGAGGAGGAGGAGGAGAGGAGGAGGAGGAGGAGAAGGAGGAGGAGGAGGAGGAGGAGGAGGAGGGGAGGAGGGAGGGAGGAGGAGGAGGAGGGGGGGAGGAGGCCGCGAGGGCAGCGCAGGAGGCGCCCCCAGGAAGCATCCCAGGGTGCCAGCAACGATTGGTGGTCCAGGCTTTGTCTAGGTATCCTACTGGCAACCCGCATGGCAAAATGGGCAACCTTCCCAAGGGTACAGCGGAGGCCCATGCCAAGAAACACCCTGCTCGCCTCCAGGGTGCCCTGGGTTTCTTGGGTTTCGACGGTTTGGCCATGGAAAGCGTGACGCTTCCACACCAAACATCAAGTGGCATCATGGGGTCTCAGGGTTGGGCTTCTTGTGGAAGTTGTCTTGTGGACTGGCCTCCACTGTATTCCCTTGCATCCTTGCCGCCTCGGCCCATCCTTGACCACTTTCGTTTGCGCGCCACGCTCGAAAAGCTTCGAAATGGCACGGTGGCGGATCCTACTACGGTGATCTTTTCCGGTCAATGTTGAGTCTTTCGATGGCTGTCTCTGGGGGTATCAGCTGGATCGAGCTTACAACGCCGCTGGAGGGAATGGAAAACAGCATGTGGACTTTTCTTTTCCTGGTCTACATTGCCATCGTGTACTTCTTCATACTCAACGTGGTCACTCGCTTATTAACCAAAGGTCTCTCAAAATGGCGGGGGCGTTTTTGATTCCGTTTTGAGTTGTCATGTTTCTGTTGTTTGTCGAAACCGTATTATTTCCGGTTGTTGAAAATTGTCAGACCATTTTGTGTCAGTGTTCGTTGCCGAGATCTGCGCAGTTATTATTCAAGAGGCGTACAGTGTGCGGTTCCTTCTGTCGGAATGGTTGTATGCCGGTTTCCGTCGTGCTGCCTGCATGTACTTCTGGCTGGTTTGTGTCCCTTGTCCTCCGCGTCTGTTACGTGGCTTCCTGGGGGCATCTTGGAGGTCTTAGGGTTGGCCTCTTGGGAGCCGTTTCGGAGCTCCCGGCGGGTTTTTTTATCCCTCTGAGGGCCTCTTGGGGGCATGTCGGCCGTCTTGGGCCATACTGCGGGAGAGGGCTCCCAGGGCTCCTTCAAGTTCCCCATTTGGAGCCTCTCTTGCCCATCTTGCGGCCCTCTTGAGGGCCTTTTTTGTCGTCTTGGGGGCCTCATGGGATGTCTTTGGGCCCTCTTGGGCCATGTCGGCCCTCTTGGGGGCACCCTCGGCCGACTTGGGCCGGTCTGGCGGGCTTCGCGGGACGCTTCGGGTTATCATAACCCCTCAATGGCGAGAGTGCAAAAAAGCATTCAACAGCACATGAAAAACGAACGAGGTCTGCCTCCTCCTCCTCCTCCTCCTCCTCCTCCTCCTCCTCCTCCTCCTCCTCCTCTTCTTCCTCCCTCCTCCCTCCTCCCTCCTCCCTCCTCCCTCCTCCCTCCTGAGAGCGTCGTGTCGGTCCTCTTGGGGACTTCCTTTGGGTGTCTTCGGGGCCTCTCGGGCGGCCCTGGCGCCATCCCGGAGGTCCTGGGGGCCTCACTGGTCGGGAGCCTCGAGACGGGGATCAGTGCAAACGGGGGTTCAGCCACAGCGCCGGGTCTTGCAGGGCGAGGGTCGCACTGGCCCGGGCTTGGGTGCAAAATTTCCCGCAGGATCTTGCAGGATCCCTTGCACTGACCCAGGCTGGGGGTGCAGGATCCTGCGGGATCCTGCAAGGCCTGACTGACCAGGGTCTGCACTGAGCCGGGTCAGAAGATCCCCGAACTGGCGCGGTTGAGCCCTTCCAGGAGGAGTAGGAGGAGGAGGAGGAGGAGGAGGAGGAGGAGGAGGAGGAGGAGGAGGAGAAGGAAGAGGAGGAGGAGGAGGAGGATGAGGAAGAGGAGGAGGAGGGAGGAGGAGGGAGGAGGAGGAGGAGAGCCATCTCGGAGAGCATCTTCGGCATCTTGGAGACGACGGGGGATGGACTTGGAGGCTCCGAGGCCCCAGGGGGAAGCCTGGACGAGTTCCCGCCCCGCCACCCCCCACTCTAACGTTAAGTCGGGCCTGTCCCTCTACAGGAGGAACAGTCAAAAATAGCCAAAAAATAGTACGGGGACGATGTTTTGAATATTTATTGACAAGTTTGGAGCATGTTTAGGGTATTTTCCCTACCTAGGCTCTGCCTAGAAGGGTTCTTACTCGTTTCGCTTAAAGGGCCGGGCAGTGGAACACGCCCCGGGCGGTTCCCCCAGTCCCCTGGGAGCGGTTCCCCCAGTCCCCTGGGAGCTTTAGCTTTAGCTTTAGCTTTAGCTTAGTTTCAGCTTAGCTGTACCTTATATGTAGTTTAGCTTTAGCTTTAGCTTAGCTTTAGCTTAGCTTTAGCTTAGCTGTAGTTTAGCTTTAGCTTAGCGTTAGCTTAGCGTTAGCTTAGCTTCATCTTAGCTTTAGCTTAGCTTCAGTTTAGCTTTAGTTTAGATTTAGCTTAGCTTTAGTTTAGCTTTAGTTTAGTTTTAGCTTAGCTTTAGCTTAGATTCAGCTAAGCTTTAGCTTATCTTCAGCTTAGCTTTAGCTTAGCTTTAGCTTCAGCTTAGCTTCAGCCTAGCTTCAGCTTAGCTTTAGCTTAGCTTTACTGTTACTACTAATGCTGCTTTCCTAGAGGCTCCAACTCCTAGGTAGGGTCGCACTGGGATAGTTTCATTTTTCGCCCAAAATCCGCCTGTAGGGGGACATGCCCGACCTAACTCTAACGGCATGTGGGACCACAGGAGGGGGACAAGGGGAGGGGGGATTGCCAAATGTCTCGCACACCTTTTCCACCTCGGCCAGCGGGGGGGTGCGGGTTCCGTTTTCCCGTCGTCGCACGCCCCCTCGCGTGGCCGCGTCAGTTTCTGCAAGTTCTCCGAGCGCTTCCAGGTCCCCGAACACTGTTTGCATCTGGGGGGTCCTGCTCGCCTCACGCAGGAACTGGGCGGGTGCGTCGAGGCTCCGCCACGTCCGGGCCCGTTGCCGCCCGTCGCCGCACGCTGCCGCTCGTGTGGGTGCGCCGAGGCTTCCCCGGGCTCCCGCTCGATGCCGCCTGTTGCCGACTGGGCGGGTGCGTCGAGGATGCGCCGCGCTCCCGCCCGTCAGCCCCTTGCCGCTCGAACGGGCGCGTCGAGGACTCGCCACGTTCGGGCACGTCGCCGCCCGCGTTCTGGCCCGCTGCCGCCCGCGTTCCGGCCCGTTGCCCCCCGTTGCCGCACGGGTGGCAGCGTCGAGGATTCGCCACGTTCCAGCCACGCAGCTTCCACCACATAGCCTCATCACAGATCTTCCACAACATAGTTTGCACCACGTAGCTTCCACCACATAGCTTCCACCACATAGCCTCCACCTCGTAGCCTCCACCAAATAGCTTCCAGCACATAGCTTCCATCACCCGAGTGCGAAGCCTCACTTGTTGGCGTCCACGGTGGCAGCGACGCGTATGCAATTTGCAGAATAATTGGCGGTTCCTGTTCCTTCCGAGTTGGGGTTCATGTTTGCAGTTGTCGTTTGTTTGTCCGCTTGTGTTTCCAGGGAGCACAGTTGTTTCCCCGCTTCATAGTTTCGTCGCATGTCTGTGCTAACTTTCCCAAATGCGAAAGGGGGAAACCTTCCCCGTTTTGAAAGACAATTAAGGTCACTGGTGTCTTCTGTCAGAATGCAATCGAGGGGGCACAAGCAGATTTAGACATGAGCATTGATGCTCAGCTCAGGGAAAAGCAAATGCACGCTCAGCGACTAGGGATGCTCTTCCAGGAGATGAACCAAAGCGGCGATACTTTTGCTGAGCTGACAGCAGACGATCTAGACGAGCAGCTGGGCAAGCCAAAAGTGCAGTCATGGTTCAGGTCGTTAGACATCGACGCAAAACAGACGTGGAAACTTTTCAAGATTATCGACGCAGACAATTCAGGCCGCGTCTCCCTCGAAGAGTTCGTTGAGGGCTGCTTGCAGCTGAGGGGACCAGCCACGCGCGTTGATGTGGAGTCCCTGAAGTGGGACATAAGAGGGGCGAGCAAGGGCGCGTGGCAGGATAATGGGAAGAAGAGCTTAATGAGTCAGCGAGCTTCCGTAAGTGATTTGCCCAGGGAAGGTGATCACACGGTTACATCAGCAGGCCATCCAGGTTGTAAGACGTCTCTCTAGACGTTGCGACGGACTAGGTAAACAAAGTGCGTTGAGAGAAGATGCTCGAGAGATGAGGGCCGCTTTTGATTGACATTGTACTTGTTTGCGCGATGAGTATGCAGTCGACTGGAGCAGGGCGATTCTGAAATTTGATAGATAGACGTCGTTGCGCCGATAATTTTTCCCGTGGCGTGCCGCTGCTACTGGAGGCAAGCCACCACGAGTAGGCACGGGCATGCAACGAACAGTGTTCTGTGTTCCCTTTTTGTTGGCATCTCGAACGATGGCAACGCAGTGGTAGCTTAAGTCGGGCATGTCCCTCTACAGGACGAAAATTCCAAAAATGAACAAAAATTATTCCGACGGAAGGACCCCAAATGAGAATCCTCTTGGGCGAATCTGGAAAAAGCCCTCACCGTCGTCCTCGTGGTTGGTGAGGCGTCCTGGCTGTCTCTTCTGCGTGTATTTCTTCTCGCCCTGGCGCGGGCCCTCCCCCCGCTCCCTACGTTGCCCCCGACCTCGCCCTCCTGTTTTGGCTCCGGACATTCAGAAAGTGGCCCGGGAGTGGTGTTCTGGAAACACGAAGAACACGAAGTGGCCTACAGTTGGCTCCGGGCATTCAAAATGTGGCCCGGGAATGGTGTTCTGGGAGGGAGGGGGTTCCCGCTTGAGACTTCCTCGCAATTCACTCACAGATGTGGCCTGGGAATGGCGTTCTGGCAGCGCGAGAGCCCAAAAGTGGCGACAGCTACAGGAATCGGATGACCCGCTCGGATTAGTAACATGATCCGCGGGCCCCTTAGGGAGGGGGCTCCCGCTTGAGACTTCCTCGCAATTCACTCACAGATGTAGCCTGGGAATGGCGTTCTGGCAGCGCGAGAGCCCAAAAGTGGCGACAGTTACAGGAATCGGATGACCCGCTCGGATTAGTAACATGATCCGCGGGCCCCTTAGGGAGGGGGCTCCCGCGTAAGACATCCTCGCAATTCACTCACAGATGTGGCCTGGGAATGGCGTTCTGGCAGCGCGAGAGCCCAAAAGTGGCGTCAGTTACAGGAATCGGATGACCCGCTCGGATTAGTAATATGATCCGCGGGCCCCATAGGGAGGGGGCTCCCGCTTGAGACTTCCTCGCAATTCACTCACAGACGAGGCCCAAGGCGAGGGAGTGAGTGAGTGAGTAACTGACTGACTGACTGGTGATGATGATGATCATCACACTCTCTCACGCGCACACTCATCATCATCATATGTGAGTGCTGATGAGTCAGTGAGTGAGTGAGTGAGTGAGTGAATGAGTGAGTGTGTGAGGGATGATGAGTGAGTGAGCGAGCGAGTGAGGAATGAGTGATGATGATGATGATGATGATGATGATGATGATGATGATGATGATGATGATGATGGTGGGTTCCTGTTCCTGCGCGGGGTGTCCAGAGAAAACAAGAACCCCACTTTGGATGTGGGGAAATAATGTGGGGCCGATTTTTCTAGTGTGTTCGGCCATTTTGGTATATGTTTTGACTATTTTCATTATTCTTTCAAAATCCGCCTGTATGGGGGGCATGCCCGACCGAATGGTAGCTCGACCTCATGATGTTGTCTCGAATCGGCAGAGCACATCCGATATTTTCCATTGCGAGCCATTTTCACGTAGGCCGTGCGCACCATTTGCACAATCACCGTCCAAAACCCAAGACGGTTGTTCAGACGACGCATGGCCGGTCATGGTTCGTGCCGGTGTTCCGCATTGGCGGTTCGGTTCGCTTCGCTTGGCAGCATTTATATCAAAGCAGTGCTTGGACTCAGGGGCTCTTTTCTGGCTTCTTGACTAGCAAGGTATGGGTTGGCCCAGGCTTATGGGTGCTATGGGTTTCGCCCCACAAGATGCGCCATGGACTCTGCCCACAAAGGTGCTTGCGCTGTCACAGACATTTGGATGCCACTGGTTGGGCCCCACAGGTTGCGCCATGAGCCCCATTCACAGAGCCCATTGCGCGAGCGAGAAAATTGTTATATACACATATATATATGTATACAATAAGTTGCGCTACAGGTTGCGCCATGGGTACGCCCGTAAGGTCACGTGTGCTGGCGCGGATTTGGGGATGCCATTCGTTGCCATTGGTAGGCCCATAGGGTTGCTTGCGCTGGCGAGGGTTCTTGGATGCCATAACTTGCGTCATGGGTCCCACCCATAGGGTCCCTTGCGCCAGCGGGAAATTTGGGGTGCCATAGGTTGCGCCACATTGCTTTGTAATGTTTTGTGCCGTTTTGAATGGGCGTATCTTGGTTAGCAGTGAGTTTCAGCGTTTACAATTGCGCTGCTTCGCGTTGCGTTGTATGTAGGTGCATTGTTTTTGATAGCTGTGCATTGACCTGAAGGCCTGCGTCCGTCTATCCGATTTGGATGCGCTAAGACCCCTCGGGGGAACCCAACATGACCTCAAGACCAGCCCAATCAAGCTCCGAGCCGAGCCACGATCCTTCCAAGAATACTCCATGTGTTGTAAACCCTCCTTCCCCACCCCCCTCTTGCGCAACATTCACTGTTCGTCTTCCCCGGGGGCTTCCAGCCAAGCCAGAGCGCGCAGCTTTGATTTTCAATGGATGCCCGCTGTTGGATCACGCGGTGTCGGGCCAAGCACTGTGTTGTTCTTGTTTCTTCTGGTTGGAGATCTACACAGTTTACCGTTCAGGGCCGTGGGTGCACATTTGTTGCCCGTTTGTTCAAGCCATGGTCCCGTAGGTGGTTTTGCCAGTTGCTGTGTGGTCAGAGCGCCGTTCAAGGCTTAGTAGCTATCGCGCTGATGCGTGTCTTCGGTTGTTTGTTGTCTCCCTCGCGTCATCGCCGCGGAAACAAGACTCCTAGACAGCCAAGCACAGATCCACGAAAGCCTCACGACGTGCCCAGGCGGACCGAAGACCCAGAAGACGGCCCCCAAGAGTTCCCAGAATGCTCCGAAGTGTTTCAACAGCCTTCCAACAGGCCCCCAACAGGCCACCAACAGTCTCCACAGAGGGACCAACAACGGTTAGAAGCGCTGCATCTTGTTTTAAGGTTACCTCCTTGGAGAGCCCAAGGTGGTTTTTGATTTGGCCGCGTTCGACGGCCTCCCAGTGTTCTAGGAGGCTTTCAGGAGGACGCCAAGACGATGTTCAGAAAGCACAAACCAGCCTCGAAGCGTCCCGAAGACGGCCCAAAATCACTCCAAGACAGTCCCAGAGCAGCTCAAGACTGGCCCCAGACGGCTCAACAATTATTCCTGATGACGCCAAGAGATCCCCAAGATGACCCAAATCCGCCGATCGGGTCGACCAAGAATGAAACTGGCAGGCTCACCGCTGATGTTGTTCTCGATCCAAGGCTGTGCCCACGACCTTGTCGCTATCCTTGATGGCGATCCAGCAAAGTAGTAGGAGCATAAAATTAGGAATCGGCCAGCCAGCGGGCGCTCTGCTCAAATGTCCATGCCACCGAGGGCCACAGGGCCTCCGATTGAGTTTTCCGACGCCCTAAGACGTGCCAAGATCATCAAACATGCGCCTTATGCATTTCGAACCATTATGTATTATATCATCATGCGTACTTGATGTAAGAAGACGCTTTCCTGTCGCATGTTTGCATGGGCGGCTGCCACGGCAGGTTTCCTTGAGAGTGTCGCAGCCTCATGTCGGTGGGCGTTTCGTGGCCCTTGCCCCCACGATCAAGGCATAATATGTCGCACCGAGCGACGGATTCCCTTCGTTCTTGTCGGCAAGGGGCTGTCAAGGTATGGTTTTCCATCGAGGACCCCCGAAAGCGGAGATTATGTTTGCTTGCCCCGCTGCAGCGCGAGCATGACGCATTGGCCCGCGATATCTGCCAGTCCCCCCCTCTCTGGCCGCGCACCCGCTGAGGCGGCAGTGCCCCCCACGCGCCGCGCGCGCGCCGCCGCTGCAGCGAGTCAGCTCCTCGCCGGCAGCGGCTAGCGAGGAGCCTGGCGCCGCAGGCCTCGCGCGCGGCGTGGTTACCGTCCCCGCGGCCGCCGCCGCCGCCGCCTCCACCGCCATGGCAGCCGTCTTCAGTGTCGCCGACCGCCGAGCCGAAGTGGAATGACATACGGCCCGTTTTTATGCTTTGGAGCTTCAGCGTTGCCAGGGAGCGTCAGGATGAGGTATTGCCCGCGGACAGAGCCTCGAGGACTCAGAATCACGCTGACTCGAGAAATTGAAGGGTCGGGCGAGCCCAATGCTCTTGCGCACCATCCTCCCTATCGCCATGCCCCCCTCCAACATCCAGGTGTGACCATACGCTTCGGGGAATGTCCGGTCGAAAAACAAGCAGTGCAAGGAGGTGTCGTCCATAAGAGTACATGTTGCAGAGGGTTCGGTCTCTTTGCGCAGGACCTGAGGAAGTCTCCAGCGAGAGCCCCGTTTCGAAAAGGAACCGTCCTCCACCCTCCACCAGCGTATACATTGCACAAACCGGTTTCTACTTACAAAATATTGCGCGAAGTCTTCAGCGAGAGCCCCATCTTGAAAAGCAGTCGCTCTCCATCGGTGTGAATGTTGGATTCGTTTGAGACGACTGCGCGCGGCGAACATGCGACTGGCACTTTATGAAAACGACCACACCAACTCTAACCGTGCAGCTTTTCAAAACGTGTAACACGTATGTGGGGGGCCTTTGGGGGCATGTTAGCGATCTCGGGAGCCATCATAGGGCGGAGGGCTCGCCATGCCAGCTCGTTTTCCCCATCTTGGGGCCATCTTGGGGCTCACTCGAATCGTCTTGGACTGTCTTGGGGCCCTCTGGGGCCCCTGGGGCCGTCTTGTGTCAACGCTGGGGGCCCTTTGGTCCATCTCAAGAGCGTAGTAAGCCCGAAAAAGCGAGAACGCTGAAATCTGTCGAACAAAATATGAAAATCAATGATTATTGGCGTCCTGGGGCATTCTAGAGCCGTCTCGGAGCCTCTCATGGACCACAAGGAAATCCTGTTGGGATCATCTGGGCCCGTCGTTGGGCCGCCTGGCCTAGCGAAAACTGTCGCGACGAGCCCCAAGGGTCCTGCGGGAACACTTGGGAGATCCATGAAATAGGTGTTCTGTACTTGGAAGCATTATGCACAATATTCCGTATTGATGGGAAAAACCTTGAGGAGCCGAGGACATTCCACACAATGCCTCGCGGCATGGTGGGCGATTAAACGCATTAACGCGTATCCGGAAAATACGTTAAAACGGGCAACCCAGCCTAAACATGTAGTTACCCAGCAGCGAAGACTGCTAGGTTTCTAATAGGGTCAAAAGAGAGCATCATGACTCCCCAGGGGGTCTGGGCGGCATCCGGACAGGGATCCGCGGAAGCTGTTTTAAACAAACAGTTACACATTTCGTGGTCTTCGAGGTCCCAGAACTCCACTCCCGGGCCACATTCTGAATGCCCGGAGCCAACTGTAGGCCACTTCGTGCTCTTCGAGTTCCCAGAACTCCATTCCCGGGCCACATTTTGAATGCCCGGAGCCAACTGTAGGCCACTTCGTGCTCTTCGAGTTCCCAGAACTCCATTCCCGGGCCACATTTTAATGCCCGGAGCCAACTGTAGGCCACTTCGTGCTCTTCGAGTTCCCAGAACTCCATTCCTGGGCATGATTTTGAATGTCCGGAGCCAACTGTAGGCCACTTCGTGTTCTCGAGTTCCCAGAACTCCACTTCCCAGGCTGAAGGCTGAGGCTGAGGCAGGCTGAGGCTGAGGCAGGCTGAGGCTGAGGCTGAGGCTTGAGGCTGAGGCTGAGGCTGAGGCTGAGGCTGAGGCTGAGGCTGAGGCTGAGGCTGAGGCTGAGGCTGAGGCAGGCTGAGGCTGAGGCCGAGGCTGAAGGCAGACTGAGGCTGAGGCTGAAGCAGGCTGAGGCTGAGGCTGAGGCTGAGGCAGGCTGAGGCTGAGGCAGGCTGAGGCTGAGGCTGAGGCTGATGCAGGCTGAGGCTGAGGCTGAGGCAGGCTGAGGCTGCTGAGGCTGAGGCTGAGGCTGCTGAGGCTGAGGCAGGCTGAGGCTGAGGCAGGCTGAGGCTGAGGCCGAGGCTGAAGGCAGACTGAGGCTGAGGCTGAAGCAGGCTGAGGCTAAGGCTGAGGCTGAGGCTGAGGCTGAGGCAGGCTGATGCTAAGGCAGGCTGAGGCTGAGGCTGAGGCTGATGCAGGCTGAGGCTGAGGCCGAGGCTGAGGCTGAGGCCGATGCTGAAGGCAGATCCAGGCTGAGGCTGAAGCAGGCTGAGGCTGAGGCAAAGGCAGGCTGAGGCTGAGGCTGAGGCAAGCTGAGGCTGAGGCAGGCTGAGGCTGAGGCTGAAGCTGATGCAGGCTGAGGCTGAGGCAGCTGAGGCTGAGGTCGAGGCTGAAGGCAGACTGAGGCTGAGGCTGAAGCAGGCTGAGGCTGAGGCTGAGGCAGGCTGAGGCTGAGGCTGAGGCAGGCTGATGCTGCAGGCTGAGGCTGAGGCTGATGCAGGCTGAGGCTGAGGCAGGCTGAGGCTGAGGCCGAGGCTGAAGGCAGACTGAGGCTGAGGCTGAAGCAGGCTGAGGCTGAGGCAGGCTGAGGCGCTGAGGCAGCTGAGCTGAGGCTGAGGCTGAGGCTGAGGCTGAGGCTGATGCAGGCTGAGGCTGCAGGCTGAGGCCGAGGCTGAGGCAGGCTGAGGCTGAGGCTGAGGCTGAGGCTGAAGCAGGCTGAGGCTGAGGCTGAGGCAGGCTGAGGCTGAGGCCGAGGCTGAGGCAGGCTGATGCTGAGGCAGGCTCAGGCTGAGGCTGAGGCTGAGGCTGATGCAGGCTGAGGCTGAGGCTGAGGCAGGTTGAGGCCGAGGCCGACGGCAGAGGCTGAGGCTGAAGCAGGCTGAGGCTGAGGCAGAGTCTGGCTGAGGCTGAGGCTGAGGCTGAAGCAGGCTGAGGCTGAGGCTGAGGCTGAGGCAGGCTGAGGCTGAGGCAGGCTGTGGCCGAGGCTGAAGGCAGACTGATGCTGAGGCTGAAGCAGGCTGAGGCTGAGGCTGAGGCAGGCTGAGGCTGAGGCTGAGGCAGGCTGAGGCTGGGGCTGTGACTGCGACTGCCGTTGCCACTGCGACTGTCATCGCGAATGCGACTACGACTGCGAGAACAGCAGAATTCTACAACTGGATTCTCATCAGAATCTTAAGGGGAATGCTTCCAGATATGCTCCTACACATCGCTGTTACGTTGCTTTGCCGGGATAATTGTTTACATGTAAATGCTCCGTCCCACGGCGAAGGGATCGCATCTATTCGCACCCGCTGCCGTATCGTTCAAGTCTCGAACGACCTCCGCGTAGATGATCGCCGCTCTCCGTGCAGCCGCCGGCGCGCTGATCCCAGAGGTTGGCCGCGGGCTCAGCATTGGCGTGGCGGTCTGGGCGGCGAGCCAAGGGCAAGCGCAGTGCTCTACCCTACATGCTTTTGCGCCCCGTCGTCATAGTGCCCAGAGTTCCGCTGCGACTGCTCAGGCCTACACAGCTCGACCTCGCAGGGCGCCGGGCTCTGGGCGGTGGCCCTCGCCTGTGGCGCCACCGGTCTGGCCGGCGGAATCGTGGGCGCCGCGACGGCTTGGCGGCTCGCCGATGGCCAGCTCGGCAGTTGGCGGGCGACTTCGCGACGAGGTCCAGCGCACTGACGTCGAAGAGTTGGCGCGGGCACCGGCGCGCAGTACTAGGGCCTAGGCCTTGCAGCAGTGATGGCGGCAGCTCCACCAGCCTGCGCTTCGGCGGTGGCCGCGGGCGTGCAGCCCGGCGAATTCATCGGTGCGCAGTACAACGTTGGTGGCCGCCCCATCATCAACGAGCTCATCGTGGTCTTGCTGAGTCCTGGGCAGCAGGGTGCCGCCAGCATCGTGACCCCCGACGAAGACGATTACAAGGAGCTGTACGTCGGCACGGCCGACTTGCTGCGCTGGGACGTCTTGCCTGGTGGTGCCACGGGTGGGGTCATGCCATGGGCTGTGGGTGCGCGTTGCTACCAGTCCTGCCACCTGCCGATGCCCGCCGCGCTACTTGCGGCTGCCACGGCCGCGGACGCGCGTGCTGAACGTCGCGGGCCGGGCCGCGGCAACGCCCCCCCGGCGCGGGCGCCTTGGCGCCCCTCGCCGCGGCCGGCGCTGCGGCAGCCCCGGAAGGCGGGGTCGCCGGCCTGATCGCGGCCTTGGGCGGGCCCGCTGCGGCGCCTGGGGCCCCGGCGCCGCTGGCGGCCCCGCCCCTGGCTGCGGCCGCCGCGGCTGGGGCCCTCCTGCCAGCGCCGGCCGCGCCGGCGCCCGCACCCGCGGCCGCGGCGCCCCCCGCGGCGGCCGACGCCCGCATCCAGCCGATGGCCTACAACGCACTGAGCGCTCGCTTGCTTAGCTTCGGTAAGCTCTTGGCACGATTTCGCGATCACCAGCGGAGCGATTGGCACATCCTGGGCCCCAGGACGACTTTGCGGGCACGCCTCTTCGTCCTTGACGACAGGCTGACGCCCCTCGGCCGCCGCTCCAAGTGGAGATCCGAGGGGCGCCTGGCGGCGATGGATGCTCGGGTAACCGATCATGAGAGATGTTGCTTCTACCTCGAGCAGAGGGCGCGCTTCGATCAGCCGAACGCGCCGGGCGTCGCTTCGGACGAGATGGCGCGTCGCGGCATCCAGGTCCAGGAGGGGCGTTGGCGCGAGAGGTTCGTTCATGCGGCCGCCGAGTCATTGAGCCCCCATCTCTCCTGGCGGCACTGCGTCCAGTCGCGGCAGCGCACGCGTGCATCCCCAGCCCCTGGCCCACGCCAGCACGGAGCTGGCCGAGGAGCTCGCCGCGCCCCAGGAGAGGAGGAAAGCTCGGGAGAAGCGGCTGGCGGCGCGCAAAACCAACGGCGGCAGGACGAACGACAGGGACAAGGACAAGGACAATGAGCGAAGAGGAGCGCGCGGCAGGACCTGGGGCCGCTCGACGCGTCGGAGCTCGAGACGTCTGCCTTTTTTCGCGGCCGCCGCGCCGCCCGCGACGGCCCTCGCCATCGCGATCGTTCCCCCGTTCCCCCCGTGACCCGACGGCCCCGCGAGCCCCCCCGCGCGGCCCCCGCGCGAGGCGGCCCGGCAGCGCAGCCGCCGCTCCGACTTCTTCCTGCCCGGGGCCAACGACGGGGCGGACGTTCTCTCAATTGCCTCCGCGGTCACTCGGGCGGGACCCACCTGGTACCATCCTAACATCGGCCAGCAGTCCAGCTCGAAGTTTTTGGAAGACTGGCACCTGGGCAGGGGCGCGATGCCTGGCGAGCCCGGCTCTGCTGAAAAAGACTTCGACTAGCTGCGCAACGGCTCTGCCATCTACTCCGACGGCGGCGGGGCCCGCGCCCCTTACTCACTGGAGTTAGCCCCCCGGCCCGAAGTGGGTTCCAGCCCCGTGGATGCGCGGGGTCGCTTGTCTCAGGAAGAAGGCTGATTGGGCTCGGAACTGGCGACATCACTTGTTCAAGATCCCCGAGGAGGCCTTGCACGGCGCCCGACACTTCTGCCCCCGCGGCCCCTTCGTCGACCCCCCGTTGGCCAAAGAACTGGTTCTGCATGGCAAGGTTGTTCGACGTCTCCATCACTCGTGGGACGCAGCGTTTCAGCGCGGCCTTCAACGGTTCGGGCGGTGACAGATCGCGCGTCACACGAGGTGCGCGCCTTTGAACCTCCTCCCCCCACGAGGTGGCCCAGGGCGGCCGCCCTGTCTGCTGTCGAGACTGGCGAGCTTCCTCTGTTCGTGGCCGCGGGGGACCTGGACAACTCCACTTACCGATTCCGGCCCATGGATGGCTAGGCCGATTATTTCACCTCGCTGGCGGGCATCTTTCGGCTCGACGGTCGGCCCGGCCCCGCCAGGGCCAGCCTGTCGCCGCGCCGCGCCAACCTGCCAATGGGCTCGTCGCGGGCCATGCATGTCTGCCAGGGTTGCATCGCGCGGGCCACCCCTCGCTCGCTGGCTTCGCGGACTCCCAGATCGTCGAGGATGGTCGCTGCGGCGTGCCTCTCCCGGACACTGCCTCCACCGGCGCCGCAGGCTACGCGGGCGACTTTGACGCGCTCAGCCACGGCGCCGTCGAGGCTGCGCGCCGGCGGGATAACATCTCCCCCGTCCATCGCGAGCAGCGCCTGACTGTCCACGAGGACACCGACGCCTCCGCCGACGCCGCCCCGGTCGGGCTGGAGCTCTGGGGCGGGGGGCGCTGGCCCCCGACGAGTCGCCGCAACCTTTGGCGGCTGAGGGCTGCGCTGGACACGGAGCTGCGCCGCGGCTGGTGCCCCAGATGGACGGCGTCGCCACCCAGCATCTGGGCGCGCGCTTCCTGCCTCGCCCACTCGCACCCCAGCCCGCGCGGGTCGCGGAAGCGCCGGCGGCCGAGGGCGACGAAGTCTTCGATCGCATAGAAGCGGCGGATACTTGCTGGTGCTCGGCTGCCGCCGCCGAAGGCGGCGGCGCTGGGCGCCTGCGCCCTGCCAGCCGAGGCCGGGCGGCCGTTGGCGGCGATTTGACTCGCGCCGACCATTGTGGCCCGCCTCCGCCCGGGATAAACTTTCAAGCTGAAGGGCAAGAACGCTGCGCCCCCGCACCTCGCCGCAGGCGCCCCCCGCGACGAACTGGGGCAAGGCGGGGGCCCACGACGAGGGCGCATGCAATGGGCCAACTGCAATTGGCCTCTGCTCTGGAGGCCTCCCAGCGGCAGAGCGCGCCCGCGGAGTCGCAGCGGAATCACAGCCGGCGTCTGGCGCCGTCGGGCCCCCCCAGGTCTCAGATCACCCGCGTTGCCTTCGCCATGGAGGGACCTAAGTCGATCTCCTCTCGCGACGTCGGGCGGCCCTCCAAGCGGAGCCGAGAGGCTGCCAGGCGTCGACCACGGGTCTCAACGGGCACGGGATGGGGACGAAGCTCGCCACGAAGCTGAGCACCAACCACGGAGATGTTCCGCCTTGGCCAGGTGACGACGCAGAACTTCCACGCGGCCAGCCCAGGCGCTCGCCGAGGCCGGGGTCAGCCAGCAGGTGCCGAACACACGAGGCTGCTGTCCTGGCCGCACGGCGCCTTAGCCTTCGCGGGCGGTAGCCCTTCGGCGCCGCCCCCCCGCTACTTCGCCCACGCCTTTGAGGCGCGGCCTCATCTCCTGCCCTGGTTTTCTGGAGCTCTTCAGGGGAACAGGTCGCACAATCAGGAGCACTGTCGGATTTATCCACGACTTGTTGCGAGATCTGGGAAAATTGCTACGGCGATCCGAGCCCTGGCCTTCCCTTCTGTGGATTTGGATTTATTAAAAATCTTACAGGACCTGGAGGGCGCGGATCACCTCCGGTCCGCTTGTGGAAAGGCTGATGCAGGAATGGGTTTCCAGGGGCTGCGTTTCGGAGGCGTTCTTGGCCCCCCTTGCACGAACTGGAGCAGGGCCGTCAAGCGCATTTTTCTGACCTCCCGCCCCCCCCATGGGCACCCCCCCCTTCGGAACTGTCTCATGTCGAGCAGGCGAGGTTCAATCTCTTTTGTCGGACCATGAAGTTTCGTCTTAGGTGCGTTGCTCCTGCCATGATTGTTTCCCTGCAACCTCCTTCTTCTGGGCTGTGCCCCGGGTTAAGCAAGTACGCGCGCGGTCCGAGCGCCAGCACGTAGAATTGCACATGCGTCTGTTCAAACTGTCTGCTCGCGTTCCCCATCTTGGGCCGCTCCTGGAGCCGTTTTGGGGGCCTTTGGGCGATCTTGGCTGCCTCTTGGGCCGTTTTGGACGCCCTGAAAACCGAAAAGGCGGGAATGCGGAGACCACGCAAACATCAATGGACTGCGACGATTTGGGCATCTTAGGCCGCCCTCCAGGGCCTCCCAGACGGCCCAACAGGCGCCCAAGAGTGTTTCAGGACGGTCCCCAGGGCCATCTGAAACCATTTCGGACATGCTTGTCCCGAACAACACACTCTTGGCCGCTCGAAAAGGCACGCGGTGACCCACCGAGAACACACGGAGCTTTGGGTTGAAGGCCATTCTAAAGAATACGTTCGAACATCAAAACAGAGAACTCCTCATCGGGATCTCAAGACAGTCCATTTCGTGCCTCGAGGCTCGGTGGCGGACATGTTGATGTGTCTGTGCATGCGTATATTGATGTACATACATACATACCTACATACATGCATGCATACATACATACATACATACATGCATGCATGCATGCATACATACATACATACATACATACATACATACATACATACATACATACATACATACGTACGTACGTACATACATACATACATACATGGATATATACATAGATACATGCATGCATGCATGCATGCATACATACATGCATGCATGCATGCATGCATAAATGCATACATGCAGCCATACTGTTATACAGACATGCATACATACATACATGCATACATACATACACACCCACACACACACATACAGACAGACAGATAGACAGACAGACAGACAGACAGACAGACAGGCAGACAGGCATACATACATACATGCATGCATGCATGCATGCATGCATACATACATACAACATACATACATACCTACATACACATATACGTAACGGTTTCGCCCCCTGTTGCCGTCCTTCTCTCTATCATAATTGGATATATCAGAGTCGCGTCGGTGCGTCTCGGCGCTGCCGTGGCTCATCTGGAAACACTGCGGCGGCGGAAAGGAATCACCAACGCATCTGAGACGTTCGCGTTATCGAAGACGCCTACGGCGAATCACCGCCGCCCCCTGCCTTTTTGGAAGAGCCTATGTGACCGAACGTTGAGGCCAGACCTGCCAAGCTATCGGATCATGTGTTCCCCGAATCGGTTTGGAAAGCCGTCTGGGAACACGTGGGCATCTTGAAGGTCATCTTGGCCGTCGGGAGGCCATTTTGATCCTTTTCTGGCCTTCTTGGAGGAAGTCTTGGAGGGCTCTTGGGCCGTCTTGGAGGCTATCTTGAGCGTCTTGGAGGCCTCTTGACCCGTCTTGGGGGCCTCTTGGGGCCGTCTTGGGCTTATTGGGCGATCTTTGGGGGCACTCGGGCCGTCTCGGGCCGTCGGAAGGCAGAAAAAAAGCAAATGCCACAATCCTTTAAACAACTCATGGGGAATCTATGAGTTTGGCCTTTTCGGGCCTTCCTGGAGGCCCTCTTGGAGGCCTCTTGGGCCGTCTTGGGCCATCTTAGGGCAATCTTCGGCCGTCTTGGTGCGCTCTTGGCCAGTCCGACGCCGTCGGAAGCCGTTTGGGGGGCCTCTCTGGGCCGACTTGGGGCCCTCTTGGAATGTTCCAGGGCCGTCTTGGAGGCCATCTTGGGTGTCTTAAAGGCCTCCTGGGCCGTCTTGGAAGCCTCTTGGGGCCGTCTTGGGGGCCTCTTGGGCCGTCATTGCGCCATGCAGGAGACCTCGTGGGCGATCTTGGGGCGATCTTGGGGGCCTCTTGGGCCGTCTTGAGCCGTCGGAACGCCGAGAAGAGGCAAATGCCAAAATCTGTCAAAAACCAATGAAAAATCAATGATTTTGGCCTCTTCGGGCCATCCTGGAAGACCTCGTGGAGACCTCTTGGGCAATATTGGGCCAGCTTCGAGCCAACTTCGGCCATCTTGGTGGGTTCCTGGCCCGTCTGACGCAGTCGGGAGCCGACTTGGGGTCTTCTTGGGGCACTTCGGGGCCGTCTTGGAGGCCATCTTGGGCGTCTTGGAGGTCTCTTGGGCCGTCTTGGGGCCCTCTTGGGGCCGTCCTGGAGGCCTCTTGGGCCGTCATCGTGGGCGATTTGGGGGCGATCTTGGCGGCCTCTTGGGCCGTCTTGAGCCTTCGGAATGCCGAGAAGAGGCAAATGCCAAAATCTGTCGAAACATTTAAGGAAAATCGATGATTTGGGCCTCTTCGGGTCCTCCTGAAGGACCTCTTCGAGACCTCTTGGGCCGTCTTGGATGTTTCTTTGGTGACCTTGGAGGTATATTGAACCCTCTTGGGCCGTCTTGGAGGCCATCTTGGACCATCTTGGGCGGACCTGGAGGCCATCTTGGACCATCTTGGGCGAGCTTGAGGGCCATCTTGGCCGTCTTGCAGGCCATCTTGGGCCATCTTCGCGATTTTGTGAGGATGTCCCTAGCGAAACGGCCGTGTGGGGGGCTTTGCAGACACCTCTGGGCAAGCGTCCCGGGACCCTGGCGGGACGGGCCGAAGCCTTAGGGGGAGTTCTTTTGGAAAAGAACCAAATCCACAACCGAGAGGGCTCAGCACGCCAGGCACCCCTGCGATGAATCGACAGGGGGCGGCGGATCGAAGACGCCTACGGCGAAT